TATGTCTAACATCCCTCAAAGTTAATATATATCTTGTACTAGTTTGTACAATAATATCACTAATCCTAACAATCTGTGACGCACTCTTATTTCCTATCTTAGTGCAACCAAAGTCTCATGCTTTATAAGTTATAAACAACTTTCTTTTAAAAACATAACGATATATCGCTATTGTGTCAACTATCTACTCAATGCCAGGATCATCAACATGATTACAATCACCATGTGTACAGATCAAAGTAACTAAATCACTATCTGAATTCACTATTGTAATATTGCCATCATCTGAACTCTTGTTTTTCTTATCTTTTTGTTCTTGCTTCAAGATTTTACAATGTTGTTTTATATTACCTATTTTACTACAATGGAAACACTTCACTTTATCCCTGGACTTGGATTTTATGTTTAGATTTACTATAGCCTTTTGAGTTCTAACTTTTGTCAATATTTTTACCCCTATTCTCTGTGATCAAAGCCTGATTTTCAGGGTCTACATCTCTTTGCCTTGTTTTTTCATTAAGCATACTATCATTTACCATATCCAATGTCATCCTATAATCAGGAGTTGAATTAAGAACAGTCACAACTAGAGTATTCCAACTGTTTGGCAATGAACCCAAAATAAATAACGTTTTCATTTTATCATCCATCTTAATCTCTATAGTAGTCATCCGATTAAATATGTTTTGAAAATCACTCAAGTGCCCTATAATCGATCGTCCATCTCTATACTGTAAAGTTGTAAGCTTTTCAACAAGCATGACTTTATTTATACCTATTTTTCTCTCATATAATGCTGTCAATTTTTCTCAAACAGTGTGGGTATCTGCCTCCTACACTACGTGATGGAACATACTAATATTAACCTATTTTTTGATTGTAACCAATGTCTTTTTGCCTAGCTTCTTCCAATTTTCATCTTTCATATCTGTTGGTTTAATCGAATCACTTAATATTGACTCATACAAATTTTTACACTATAAATGATCTTTTATCACAGGTTTTCAAATTGAATAATTTGATGCTATCAATTTTAACATAGAACTTGTTTCACTCTCCATGATCTCAAATAGAATTTACTTATGTCTTGAGTTGCTTTTGTATTGATGTTTCAAAAATAATCTTTACTCTGATACCACTTGTTGGGGAGATAAACTACACTTGGAGCCTATGAGAGCAGACCAAAGAGCCTATACATACATATTGGACACCACTTGAGCCCAAAAGCTTAAGCTATTAGGTTCTTGGGTCCTTCATGCATATATAAAACATCTCATTCAGATTTTCTAATGATGTGGGATTCTTTACTCACATGTGAACCATATCCCAACAATCTCTCCCATTACTTGTGAGTTCTAATCAAGTCCCACCTTGGCTCTCCCATGCGAGTAAGTCCTATCAACACCTCTTTTAGGTCAAGCAACCTTACATCTCTAGTGTACTTTTGGGTCAGGCCACAGCACTCAACCTTGTCACCTAGGTTGTCTTAGTGCTCCTTCAAGCTTATACTCCAGGTTGACTTAACACATCCCTCACTTGGGTGTTTCACTTATGCATATTATCATAGACTCATCGTATCCAAGTTGAACATTTTAATACCGATTTTTTAGCACAATGAGTTGATGGGTGCAACCAACCTCTGATCTGCCAACAATTTCCCTCCTAACAATATCATTGAAACTTGAACCTATCATAACTTTGGTTCTATTATCACTTGTTGGGCCTAAAGCAATAAACACAACAATGCAGAAGCAATATATTGCAATAAACTCATAGTAATAAACAACAATCAATAATCAACAACGCAGAAAAAATAAAGCATACCAAAAATTAAGTGAAAAATCCTCTAGTGTAGAGGAAAAAATCATAGATCACCAAAAAAATCTCCACTATCAAATAATTGATATACAAAGTTCTTCTCTGGCTAAAACTAGAGCTAATCAATAATTAGAGAAATAATTGGAGAAATTTCACTAAATAGGTGACTCAACAAATATACTCTAGATTTGTTATTAGAAAGCTTTAAACCCGATCTTTACCGTTCAAAATGTAGAACTTTGAATCATAAACCTGCTGACAAAGTTTTAACTCAATCGGACCACAGATCAACTTTCGTTCAACCAACTCCCCCTTTTTTTTTCTCTCTATTTTTCCTGGCTTTTCTTCTTTTCTTGGTTTTGTGACGCCACCTTAAAACAACCTCACCTCTTTTTATTAAGTAACTAGAGCTCTGTGTAAAAAAAAACCCATGACCTTTGATTGGTCCAAAACCAATTACACAGGGCTGGACCCATTTTCTTAGTAGATCCTATGGGAGCCATTAGAGAAGGAGAGTGGAGTTCTTCTCTTAGTGGAATGTACACTACTGATCAGTAAGCCGATTTCATGGCTTAATTGCTCAGCAACCGTCCCCTTCCTGATGAGCTAGCTGGGAGTTCATTTTGGCCTGGCCATCATTTAACAATAAACAGAACAGTGGCTTTCTACTGTTCCTCAGATATTGCTAACACTGGTTGAAACAGTTTTTCACAAGCAGGGAGTAGTTATAATGCTGGTAGCAATATTCTTTTTCCCTCTTCAAGTCAAGAGAGCTACTATCTGCAGAGTGATTCTCATCCAATTTTTGTAGCCGATAATAGCCCCATGTTAATGGACTTTCTGTATGGAAGATGCAACAAACACAAGTTCCTATCTCGTTGAAGGTGATGATTGCTTGAACCAAGAACCGGGCAATGGAAATGTAGAACAGGCTGGTAAAAGCCACCAAGAACCTGCTCATTTGGAACACAAAAGGGAATCTGAGATGCCACTGCCAGAAACAATAACGGAGAAAAAAAGTAACAACATATCAGAGAATTCTACGAAAAGATCTCGAAGTTCAGGAGATGTGAGTACAAAGACAAATAAATTTTATAATCTTTTTTGCTAAGAATTATTTTATGCTTCTTCTCGTCATAATTTAATGGTGCAGGTCCAAAAGAACCGGAGAAATGCAACGTCAAAGAAGAAGCAGAGTGTTGTCTTCACTTCCAACGAAGGTGAAGATGGTAATGCTGGTGGTCTCAACGGGCAAGGTTCGGCGAGTTACTCATCAGAGGATGACTCAGATGCTTCTCGGGAGTTGAATGGAGGATTGACCTCAAGCTCAAAAGGAGAAGCAGCACTAAATTTGAATGGCAAAACAAGAGCCAGTAAGAAGGGAACGAATCAATGAGAGGCTCATAATTTTACAAAACCTTGTCCCCAACGGAACAAAGGTCTTGATGCTAAGAAAGTTTTTAATCAGGAGTCAAAGCAAACGGTGAGTGCAAATCTCAAAATTCATTCTTTGATGTTGCAGGTTGATGTTAGTGTCACGGACCTAAGGAAGAGTCATGAATCTCACATCAAACATAATAAGAGGGTCCCTGGAGAATAAAAGGGTTCATACCACCTTCGTCTTGAGAGACATCTTTTGTAGGACAAAACCGTGAGACCAGGGGGTCAAAGCGAACAATACCTCACAAGGGTGTGAACCGTGACAGTCAGGCTGATCTGGGATGCCGGAAGGATGAATGCCTGGGTCTCGGAGCGGCGCGGGTTAAGAGCTTAAGTCTCAAACCGTGACAAGTAGTATCAGAGCAAGCCCTAAACCGTTCGATCCACGCCAAGCACCTCAAAGGAAGCAGGCAGGGTGATCAGCCTCCGTGACGAGGGCGTCACGAGATTGGGTGCGGGAGAATGTCACGGACCTAAGGAAGAGTCCTGAATCTCACATCGAACATAATAAGAGGGTTCCTGAAGAATAAAAGGGTTCATACCACCTCCGCCTTGAGAGGGGCCTTTTGTAGGACAAAATCGTAAGGTCAGGGGGGCCAAAGTGGACAATACCTCACAAGGGTGTGAACCGTGGCAGTCAAGCTGATCTGAGACGTCGGAAGGGTGAATGTCCGGGTTCCGGAGCCGCGCGAGTTAGGAGCTTAAGTCTCGACCTGTGACATTAACACAATGCTTGAAGAAGCTGTCCAATATGTAAAGTTTTTGCAGCTCCAGATTAAGGTAAGAACAAACCAAAGAATCTTTATTGTAATGAAAATTGATCTTCTCGTCTGATTTGAAACTTTTCTATGATAGTGGATATTTACCAAACCAATTTGCTTTACTTTTTCTGGAATCTTGCAGCTTTTAAGTTCTGATGATTTATGGATGTATGCACCCATTGCTTACAAAGGAATGAACATTGGACTAGATCTCAAGGTCGCCACGCCAAAACGATCGTAGGAGATGTGGTCTGATCGGCTGGCGCTCACGGACCATTCTGTCCAAAAGTTTGGCCATCTTTATATTCTTTAAATTGAAGTAAGTCGTTGCCACATAAATTCTTCAAATCCTGATTGCAATCGGTAATCACAACGAATCATTAATCAAATTTATCCATTTATTTCTTGTAATCACATAAAATACACTAGTTAATCACGCAGATTTTCTTTGTTTTGAAGATTTTTAGCTGCAACTACGAGTTGAATTTCACATTACTGAAACATGGTCTTGATTTTGTTTATGTTTTCCATGCAATATCATGTCCATGGGATGATATATATTCAGCTTTGTCCCAATGAATTCGTCATAAATTAACATTAATTCTGTGGACAGTTACTCAGATCAATAACAAATATCCTAAAATATTATCATTGTACAGTCAATAGTCCATAGAAGTTAAACGGTAACACAAATAATAGGACTTTCTGTCGGTGGTCGTGTAAGCTATTTCAATAATCAAGTTCAATTTCTGATAACTTCAAATATGAAACAATAAAACTTTTTGCTTTCAATCTATGCAAATAAATGAAAAAAATCTTCGTCAATTTGTCCTTAATTATACGTACGTGACTTGTAGTCAGGAGGTATTGCATGTTCATATTGAATGAAAGCCATGTTAAGGGCTCAACAGGAAGTCGGCAATGCTTTCAAGTTGAAAAAATATAGCAATTTTAGTATATCTTTATACTGAAAATGATATTTTATCGAGTCAATTAGTTAGTAACTCAGCCAAACAAGTTGAGACCAGGGAAATGGCAGCTTGGCAATAATCCAAGTGAAGAAGGCAATTTTAGACTTTATTTGAAGATCAGGAACAAGCTGGGGCAACATATATGTAACTCACAAACAGATAGGTTAGATTTGGACAATTTCACGAATACCACATATTATATAAGTCTTAGACCTTGAAGGCTCCCAACATAAAAAGAAGCATCAATCAATGGCTGTTGATATATGTTCTCTCATTCACGTAAAAGCCTTCAGCTTCTGTCAACTGACTTCGGAAATGGATATTTGGATTAAAAAAAACCCATAAATGTTCATTCGGGAAACCAAAACTAGCATAAGTGTTTCTTTCTTCAGGTGCATTAGGGCAAGTGGGAATGGCAGAAAGGAAAATGGTATCATCAGTAAAATTAAAAAAAAAAAAAAAGGAACCACGCCTTTAGAGCCCTCCTTTTTAACTTAAAAATAGGGTAAGACGAAAAAGTTCAGGCAGCTAACCTAAAAGGCATAAAGGAATGAATTACAGAATTGCCATATAAATTATGGGGCAAAAGATACTTGGTATTTAGAATCTGGAAAGAAAATTCTTAGATGCTACAACCAGATCCTATATGATCTGCGCCTGATGGCTTTGTCGATCCCCTACTCAACTCTTTTCAGCATGTTACGGTTATAACGAACAAATAGCCACTTCTATTGTGCATTTCGTTATTGTCCGATACATTTTATATATCCATAGCAACCATGCTTGAAATCCAATTGATCAACCCTGCGTGATCAAACTCCATGAAAATTTAGGAGTTTTCTTCTTCATGCACGATCTTCACTTACATGGTTCGGAACTTCTGCTTGACTATCCAGAGGCATGTACTGTGCCATTATAGCTCTTATTTCAGAATCCATGTACGACTGCAAAAGTAACAAAACAAGTAAACGTTAGGAAAAAAAACATATATGCGTAACATATATATATATATATAGAAGAAAACCAGAATGGCTGGTTCAGGTTTGATAAGTTGGTCTAGCGTGGCTCGCCAATCAAAACCCTCAATTCCAGGCACTTCAATCCAAGCCAAACATCCCCATCAAAGGATTCAATCAAGAACAGTCACTTTCCTAACCAACCATTATGCGGTCTACACTTCATACTGTAGGCTTATTTTATAATGTAATGCACGAGCTTACCCTTAATCTATATCTGTAAACAAGATAAGCCCCACCACCAGCCATTGCGCTTATTTTATAATGTAATGCACGAACTTACCCTTAATCTATATCTGTAAACAAGATAAGCCCCACCACCAGCCATTGCCAAGCCGATCAAAATGACCCAAACAGCAGCCCATGCTGATCTTACTTCAGTACCCCTCTTACCTGAGATAGAGCAAAGAGTAGACATCAAAACACTAATTGTAAATCATATATTCCAAAGAAAATAGGTTTAAGTTACAAATCCTAGATCCACCAACTCACTTATGCAGGTATCATGGTCCCTGATATACAAAAGATCTCCACTGCAAGAGCATTCATAGCTTCCCCAGGTATTTTTGCAGCTACATTCAGGGCACTGGCAAGCTTTCTTCTCTTTGCATTCATCAATATCTGCATGATGGAAAAGGCAGAAATATAAAATTGCTAAATCATTCGGCAAACTCAAAGCTTCTGTTTACTTGCATTCAAGCAGTCAATTAATGTTCATGTATAGTTCATGTACACCAAGTTAATGCAAGTTTCTTCATCCTACGAATGAAGGAGGTGCTTTCAAGATGTCCCATTACAGTTAGGTTCTCAACTCACATGGATGTTTGGTGAATATAAATTCAACTCAAGCTAGTTTGAGTTCCTAATTACAGCATGAAATATATTTATTCATTCAGGACTCACCTTCACAACTTTTGACGCCATCACCTTTAAACCCTGGAGGACACTGGCATTTAACATCTCCAAAACCCTGTTCAAAGCCTTGATCAGAGCATAAACTTATTTTCACAAGGAGGAAAAAAGAAAAAATAAATGTTGCTACTAACCAAACAAGCAGAGTATGCATGTCCATCTCGTGAGTCATGCCAACAACCTCCATTATTAATCTTGCACCTTCCAGGCCCACTAGCTGAATGGCAAAAAGAAAACAGAATATAAGTGCATATTATACGGATTAAGATTATTAAGACAGAAACAGGTGAGATATGCCTTTTGAAGAAGAGAGTTGCATGGTCTCTATCAAACATAAGCAAACACAATAATCATTAGGGGGCTTCAAACTGAGACATAAGCAACAAACAACAAATCAAGCTTTTCTCATGTGGAATTGGCTACATGAATCCTATAATTCCATTTCATCCAGCTAGGAACTTGGCCCATATCATGAGGTATGATCATAAAAGAACATTAAAACAATGACTTCACATTTTAAACATTAACTTTGAAGTAAAAGCTTAATCAGCACAAATAAATTGATCAATAATTAAACCCCAATTCTCACCTTCGCAGTGACTGTAGCCGTCTCCTTTGAATTGCACACCATCAACCAAGGGACATTCACAAACTCTCCCTCGAAATGTATCCTGACCAAATCAATATATTGAGAGAGTCAACAGTGTCATATGCAAGTAGAGAACCTCTTCAAAAAAGTTTTTAATTCATACCTTGCAGGCTGTGAGATTAGCTATTTTATCTTGCCAACAGCCACCATTGTTATCCAAGCATTCATTAGTTTCCACATCTGCCACAGAAGTCCACTGTCATTCATGTTTCAAATAACAACGTGACAGTAAGTTGAACCACTACACTGTGCAACTTCTGCCAAAGCAGGCAGTGGAATTCTAAGAGCCAAACCCTCAGTAATTTTGACAGAAGTGGACACCCACAAAACAAATTCACTTAATTTTCCCTTGAAAACCCATGAGCACATAGCACCCCTAAGTGGCAACGGACTAAAATACTTCTCTTGCAAGAAAATATAACAAGAAAACTTACCACCGCTCAAACAAACAGCCGGTTCAGTAGTCTCCTCAAAACCAGAACAGATGGCCTTCAAAACAGCACCTTTGGCTAGCTTTCCTGTATGCAAATATGTCAGAAAGGAAAGCATCCAAAACTTTATCTGTGAAATACAATTTGACTACATACCTCGATATTGCCGATTGTTGACAACAAGTGTAGGCAATATAGTAACATCACCCCTAGATCCTTTCCCCACCTATGAAAATGTTTCTATTAAATAGCTTTCCAAGATTAAGAGCTCCAAAAAGGTCAAAGATGACAAGAAATCCATAAAAAGAGTAATAAAACATAATATCTAAGCATGAGAGAATTACTTGGGCATCTTGTTCTTCTTTCAGAACAGGATTATCTGCATCAGCATTGCGGTCTCCCATACACTTTTCAATCTTTTTACCATCAAGCCCTGAATGGATGACAAAAGAACATCATGAATCAGTTATAACTAGTTGCCGGTAATATTTTGATTCTATAGGGTGCTATTAGCGGCAATCATAAGTGAAATAGAGGATTCTTTTAATTAACTGTTTACCAAGAGATTTGATAACATCATCTGCACATTCCTTGTTATACTTTTTATCCTTCATGGGGCATCTTATTTGAAAATCCGTCACATAGTCCCACCACAGCCAAGGCTTACTGGTCTCATTTGCCACTCTGAAAACACATAGCTGCCTTAAGTTTTCAATAACTACATCTTTCCCATCATAACCTGAGCTAAAATCTTGTTCAGGATCAGGTGCACAATATCTTCCATGGTTGATGCATTGAGATTTGCACTGTCTGCTTAGGGTGAAAGCCTCAGGGCAGTACCAAGTTATATAATGGGGTGTAAATTGAGTATAGCCACCTTTTTCAAGTATCTGTGCAGCACCCTTGAAATCCTTCACAAATTCCATCAGCATATCACATTTAACTCCACATTCATCATTACTGTTGGTCCATAACTCATACTCCACACGGTCATCAGGGTGTGGAACAGCCTCTCGCCAATCAAGATTAACATTGACCATATCCCCACCACTGATTGCTTTCTTTAGAGTTTCACCAAAAGTTTTCTCAATCAGGGCAGATGGAATCGTTATATTTTCAATGTATTTGGCAGATGAACCATCCTCTTCAGGTGTGTCCATGGTTATTAATGCTTCTTCAATATTATCTGCAACAAGCACTGCAGAAGCACCAGCCTTCTGTGCATTCCAAACCTTTAAAGCAAAGAAGCAATCTGGGAAAATAATAAGAATAGTAAGGCACTGACTTGGCATAAAAATATTTTGAACTAAAGAAAAATTAATTGTAAGAGCATAACTTAAGTAATCAAGTTTGAGCAAAATAAACAAATTTTACAACCTTAATCTCTTTGGCTTTATAGCAGACACTGATGCCTGTTCATATGGTAAACTGATACATGCTCTTGATCATACGGAATTATCACTTAAGATTCTTCTCATCTCTTTAACAGTTTAATCACATTGGATTAATGTAACTTAATTATCTAATCTGGAGGTAACTATAAGACATTACTACGACGATCTTAGATCACCAGCAACTTCCAGCCTCTTGAAACTCATTTTTATTTTCATATATCTGTTAGAGAATGCATTAATTCTAGATACTCCTTGATCAATTCAATCAGCTTGTGGCAAAAGAGCAAACATAAGCATTTCATTCCAATCATACAAAGAGTAACTCCATGATTAATCATAAGAAACCAATCAAACTCAAATCATACACTCTCAACCACTTTTATTGAAACTTATTTTGCCAATCTGGGAAATTAGGGGGGAAAAGGAGCTAAAAGATAAACCTCAAATTTCAGCAAAAAACTAGTGGGATAAAAAGAGAAAAAGACAATCTTCCAAACGACATAAGCAGGCTAAAACAAGTAAATTAATAATAAATAAAAAAGCCGTAAATCCTTAGTCAGCCAAATCAAACAAACTATAAAACGCAAAGCTTATAGTGATAATGAAATCAATGGAAACTAATCACAAACTACAATGCTTTTCCAAAGGAATGGAAGAAATAAAACTAATAAAATATATTCAAGTGGACGAAAACTGAATCAATTAAACCTCAAATACGAAACTAACAATTAAATTAACCCACCAAAAAAAATTAAAAAAAAAAAAACTCTTAAACCAACCACATCCAACAAATTAAACCTTAAATCTAACATTAAAAAAAGAAAAAAAATCTGAAAGTAAGAATCAAATTAGCCAAAAAAAACCAAAAAGTTTCCTCATCAGTCAAGCCAACAACAGACAAATTATAGCTTAAATAAACTCAATCTTAGATTAATATTTCTAAAGGAAAAAGATAAAAAGAGAAGGCAAAAATAGGAAAAGATACCTCCACGATCAACCAAAACAAAAGTAGGAAGAGAACCAGGCTTGGATTGAAAGGAAATCCCAAACTCATCAAAACTCTTACAAGCCTTTTGGTTCTCCTTAGGGTAAACCACAGCACCGGCCATGCTTCCCCCATATTGAGGTATCCCAAAGTTCCCAATTGCACTATCATGGGTTCCCTTAATCTTCTCCGGTGATGTCACCGTCAAGCTGTTCTTTTCCACCACAAATCTCGCACAACAATTCCCTATCACAGACAACAACACAAACCCTTGAAGCAGACGTAATCTTCGTATCCCCATCTCTTTCCTTCTTCTTTTGACAACTGAGGCTTTTGTGGGATTTCCGTAGATCAGTTCAAGGAAGACACTGAAGAAGAAGAAGATCGTGTAAGAAAAAACATGTAAAAAAAATGGCTGGGGTGCTCCGGAACTGGGAATTTTTTTTTGGAATTTCGTAAAAATATGTAATATTAGAAAAATTACTATCACTCTTTGAAATCACTGTGCTTCAAAGTCTTAAGCATCGACGCCTTTGATTCCATAGGAGAATTTGTTATGTAATTTGGTCTTTTTGATTAAAATCAAAATTACATTCATTCTTTTCTTCATGAGGTTATTTACTCATTTATAACAAAAAGAGAAGGATATTTATCATTTTCCTTGTTAAGAGAGATTTTTTTTTAAATGCATCAAGTGTCTTAATCTCATCTAGATCACCAAATTAAAATTTTAACAAATGTTGTGGGTAAAAATTGGATTTTTGTTATTTTTTTAAAATTTATTTTATTATTAAATGTGTAAAATAATAAAATTTTTTATTAATAATTTTTTAACAATTTATATTTATTTATTAATCTTAATAAATTATGAATAATATTTAAAATTTATCAATTAAAAAATATATTAAAAATATAATAAAATTTATTTATATTAAAATAATTTACAATCTTACTTATTTTATTAAAATAAATATCAAAGTAATGTATGAATGAAATTTATTTAAATTAATAATAATAATAGTACTAAAAGTTAAGGTATTGTTTGAAATATAAAATTAAAATACGTAGTAATTATTATCTAAAAGACAAAGCATGACTCGGATGAACTTTGCCACTCGTTTTAAAATCACATCAAACCGGAGCGGTCCATTTCTAAAAGAAGTGGTTCAACTATACACCAAGAATCCAAGATTGAGTATAATTTTAAGACAGCTGTGTCGACAGAAGTGGGCCTGTGATTGGAGGGAGTAAATGTGACGTTGCTCCTCTGCGTCTCATTACTCTTTATACGGATGGACGGACTACGAGGCCGGTGGACCCTGGAACTCTTTGCCTCTGTTCTATCACATTGAAAATGCATGGGAATTTCAACTCCCAACGAAGCCCCACAATTTATCTCCATCCACCCATTTAATAAATTTTATCCATTATATTCTCGAAATTTGACCATCCATAGAATTATAAAATTAGACTTAAGAATTCATACATTTTATTATATTATATTCGATGATATAAATTATTAAAATAATATAATATAAATTATAAAATATATTTAAATTTTAAATATAAATATAATATATTTATTATACATATTACACATAATATGACATAATTAATTATATATAATTAATTTTTTAAAATATTATATGAATAAATATAAATATATATTATTAAAATAATAAATAATTATAAATTATTTATCATTTATAAGTTAATAAACTTAAGATATTAATAATATAAAAAAAATTAATATTCATTTAATATATATTTAAGATATATTTAAATTTTAATACATGTTACATAATTATATAATTTTTAGTATCAAATTTAAAATGATAAATTATTAAAAATTAAAAAATAAAATAATAATGTATAAGATTAATATTAATATTAATATTATATTATTAATATAAAAATAATTGTATAATAATTGTTAAATGTGTGTCATAATTAAATATTTAAAATAATTTTTATATGGTATTAAATAATTAATTTAATATCATAATTAAAAAATTAAAAATTAAAATAATCTTTATATGTTTATATTAAATTAAAATAACTATAAAAATATGTTAAATTTGTTAAAATGTTAAATATATTATTTATATTTTATCATGTATTTAAATATATTAATATATATAAAATATGAATTATATTATATCAAAATTTATATTAATATGAATAAATATAAAAATTTCTTTTAAACATATATATAATTTTTTATATTGTTTTTATATTATATTATTATATTATATTTAAAATTAATCTACGCAAAGCATCACGTGAGATACTGTATCTTTCCTTGCCTTAGCGGCGCTTTTTTGTTTTTATGCTAACAAAATGAAAAAAAAAAATGATGGGATGAGATTTAGAAATTCGGTGAAAAATAAAAATGAAGTGAGAGAAAAAGACACAAAAAGTTGGTATCATTATGGATCTCAGTTTGATTTTTTTATTGTTTTTATTTTCATTAAATTTTTTTTAAAATCTACTATTATATTCATTAGCATTTCAACTTTTTTAAAATTTTTATTTTATTTTTATAAATTTTACATCTGACGTATGTATTGTTATTAAACGTTTTAGCTGTTTACTTCTTTTTTTTATGTGTTTTCTTATATATTATATTTCACAAATATTTTATAAATTATAAAAAAATGTTTTTAAAGATTTTATTTTTTGACAAAAATATTTTTAGTGTGTAAAATTCATTTATATCAAAATGTTCTGTTTTACTTTTTTCACTTTTTACTATTTAATAAATATTTTTTCAGATTATAATTTTTTTTTAGATTCATTTTCTGTTAAGGATATGTCATGTGTTTTTTTTTTTATTTTATTATTTTTATATTTTTACATATTTAATAAATAATTTTTAGATTTTAATTTTACATATTCACTTTATATCAAGGATATTTCATGTGTCAAGCTATTTGATTCTTTTTTTTTTTTATTTACTTTTTTTATAATTAATAAATATTTTTAATTATTTTTAAAATTTTTAATTAGGGTCTATTTGATATTAGAATTAAATTTTTTTTTATTATGATAATTTTTAAAAATAAAAATATTAACGGAAGTCTCATGTCACATCCAAATTTATTTTTCTTTTTCTGAATCTTTCTTTTTTTTTTTTCAAGTTTCTTTTTATTCATGATATAAAATATTCAATTGATATAAAAGTGACAAAATAATTAACTGGATATGTTTTTATTCCACTCAATTTACTAGGTGTAGTTTTTTAAAAAAATTAGATATTAAATCCAGGTTTTAGCTTTTTTAAATTTGAGATCTAGTTGAAAAGGAGTTTAAATTTTTTCGTCTTACTACAAATATATATAATTATATTTATAATTATTTATTTTATTTTACTTTTATATATTTTATTATATTAATAAATTTATTATTTAATATATAAATTTAATAAAATTTCCATATTTATACAAATTTAATCTATTTATATATAAATTTTACTAATTTTGACTTTTATTTGACTTTATCGATATAACATCTTGTTATTTTTTTTCAATTTTTTTATTTTTTATTTTTAATTTAGATAAATTTATTAAAAAAATAAATAGAAGTACCAATAGGCACCCCATTTTACTTTTTTTTTATTATATAAATTTTGTAACAAATAAGTTGATGAATAAAGATGATAAAATAATTCGTATTTATAAGCTTCGATTCGACTTGATCTAATAGGGAGAATTTTTTTTTCATTTTTTTATTTTTTATTAGATAAAATTTGTAAAAAAATTATGTCAAAAAAGGCTTCCATGTAACTCTTTATTTATTTATTTTTCATATTTTTTAATTAGATCTGTTTTACAACAAAATGAGTCGATCTCTAACAATAACAAAACAATTAGTATTTTATAGGTATTCATCCGTCTCGATTTAATATTTTTTTAAAAATTTAATATTAAGTCAGTTGGATTATTTTATTTTATAAAAGGTAAGGATAAACCAAAACAGATTTAGGGTGCTCTATCAGGTCATTCAATGATATATATATATATATATATTTTATTATCTATTTAATTTTATATTTATATGTATATATTATATTAAAAAAGTATGACTTTATACTTTAATTTAAGATATTAACATTTTAAATTCAATTTAAATGTCAACATGCTATCTCAATTATCTTTTTTTTTTTTTTTTTACTTATTTTTAATTATATCAATTTTACAATAAGATGAATCAATCAATAACAACAACAAAATAATTAGTATCTTATAGGTATCCATTTATCTCGATTTGATTTTTTTTAAAAAATCAATATAAAGTTTGTTGGATTTTTTTTTATTAAAGGTAACGATAGACCAAAATAAATTTAGGGTGCTCTACCCAAGTCATTCCATGATATATATATATATATATATATATTTATCTATTTAATTTTATATTTATATGCATATATTATATTAAAAAAGTATGATTTTATACTTTAAGTTAAGATATTAATATTTTAAACTCAATTTAAATGTTAACATGGTATCTCAATTATCTTCCTTTTTTTTCTTTATTTTTTATTTTTTAATTAATAAAATTATCATTTAATACAAAAATAATAATAAACTCAATTTGATTGTCTGTGTTATACCCTAATGAATCACTTTTCCATTTTTTGTTCTTTTATTTTTTCTTCAATATTTTACGCTTTTATACTCTTTTTATTAAATTAATTATGTTAAAAATATGCCAATTCGGTAACCCATTTGATTTATTTTTTCTCTTTTATTTTTTTAATTAGATAAATTTTATAACAAAAGTTATTAATTGATAAAGATACCAAAAAAATTTGTATCCCATGAATTCAATTCATTTTGATTCGATAGAAAGAGACTCTTTTAAATAGGGTTTTGAGTTGGGATTGATAAAGTTTTTTTTATAAAATACAATATTTGTGCGAAAGTGTGTTTATAGTGTTTTGTCAGACCCATTTTGAAATATATATAAAATATTTTTTTATTAATTTAATTATATATTTATGTATTATTTTAATAAAATTATTATTTGATATTTTAATTTAAAAAATTAATATTTTAAATTCAATGAGGTATGCATGTGACACCCTATGTGAGCCTAATTTTGTTTTATTTTTTCTTTCATTTTTATTCTTTTTCACTTTTTACGATTTGTTTGTTTTAGATTTTTTATTAGGTATATTTTGTGAGAATATGATTTCAATTGAAATATCAACATGTCGCCTTATTGTTTATTTTTTAATTAAAAAAATTTTATAAAAATACATCAATGAATAAAGATGACAAAATAAAAAAAAATTTGACCCACGACAACACTCAGACTATCCAATTAGTAGTGTTTTTAATTTTACCTTACTAAGTAATTTTTCACGTAAATTTGATCTACAATTTTCCAGTCTATATATGATTCATACATTAATTAAAAAAAATGTAATGTCTAGAGAAAAAGAAATAGGGGTGTGAGTGATTTTAGAAACTTGTTTTTTGGTTTTCTTTGATCAATTAATTACTTTGATCAACTTGAGTAATAATTGGTATATCAGTTGACTGCTGAATTTGCAATGAATTTATTGGAGCAATCACCGGAGCACCCCTCGACGCTTGTGGCCCTTGGGATGGTCCGCCCCATAATGAGTTATTGATTTTGAGTTTGAGATGACTGACATGATCTTATCTTCCTTATCAACGTGTCTGTTAGTGTTTCTTCGAAAAAAAAAAAAAATGTCCCTAGGTTTGATTGGGTCACCCAAAATACTAACCTTCTGACATGAAGGACAGCAAAATGCATGTGCTCCATATGAACCAGTTGAGGTGGGAGAATAGAAAGACAAAAAAGGTTAAAAAATGAAACAAGAAAAGCAAGAGGAAAAGGATTCAGTGAAGTACAGTGCAAGGCAATGCTAAAGTGCCGATTCCTAATTACATTTGCTGAGATGTAGCCTTAACATATATATCATCTTTGAAGTGGTGGTGGTACTAGCTATCAGTTCAACAGGCATTTGCTGCATGTGACTGCAATCTTGTGGCACTTAGGCAAAGAGTTAATGCAACAAATGGAACAGTGATTCTTGTGGTTATGGCTGCTGGCCCTATTGATATTTCTTTTGTAAAGAATGTGAGAAAAATCGGAGGCATTTTGTGGGTCGGATAGCCGGGTCAAGTTGGAGGATAAGCCATTGCTGTCAAGTCATATTTGGAGACACTGCAAGAATAATATTTTGTCTCCTTTTTTTTCTTTTATGTTGCTTTTGATTGGAGGTGCATCTGAATACCAGTACGCTGACAAATGTCTTCTTGTGTCAGCTGGAAGGTCTCCTTTTACATGGTACCCACAAGAGTATGCAGATGATCAGGTGCCGATGACATACATGAACATGAGAGCCAATACCACAGCGAACTTTCCTGGGAGAACCTATCGGTTCTATACATGGGCAAATTTATTTATGACTTTGGACATGGATTAAGCTACAGATCATTCTCCGAGTTCATAATATGATCTGCTCCTTCCACGATACTCATCCAATCAAAACCAAACAATATTCTCTCCTCTCAATCCATCCACAAACTATGCGCCTACTCTAATGGTGAAGCAATTGATGTTTCAAGCAATGTTTCAAACTAGGAAAGAAAAAATGTTTTATAAAGTAAAAACGCTAGAGAGAATCTCTAATCTTATGGTTAACAGCCGTACGCTCTAACTGACTGAGTCATTCCAACTTGTTGTAAAAAACTTTTATAATATATTTAAAATATACTTGGCATAAACCATATCTGCCACAGCCTAAATTGTGAGGTATCCTTTTTTACAGATTCAAATACCGGCAGCTCCATCCGCTTGGGCAGTTTTACATTGTCTTTCAGCATTAAAGGATAAAGTCATAAACCATATCTGCAAGCACATGGCTCATTCTGTCCATGGCTTATTGATGATGGCATATTGATAGTTGCAGTTGAGTTGAGATCATTTTGACCATTTCATTTTACAGGAAAAAAAAAAAAGATTCAACAACTCCTGATCCTCAACTTCCATGTATAATTAATAATTGCCATCATCTTGAAAAAGACGAATTCAATTAATAAGTCCTAGAGAGTTTTCTATTTGTTCTCCCTTAGAATGGAACAGAGAAAGAAAACCACCAATATCACCACCACTCTCATGCTTGCTATATATTCTTATTTCTTATACCTCGGTCCACTCTCGTAAGCTGATTGGCTCACCATCACCTTCTCCGGTCAGTGCATCCCACAGCCACAATATTTAAGTGTTCCCTTCCCTCGCATTGTTTCCTTTTTATTGATTTTCCCATTATATATATAAATATGATTGTCATATGGCTTGATTTGACAATAACGTTCTTTGAATGCTTTATCTCTATACAGGAAAGTTTGGTGCTGATTGCCGGAAAGAGAAGGCCTGGGTCACTTCCAGCTGCCTCTCATTCGAAGTGCAAGAAGTGCAAGCCCTGCATCCCCGGTTGAAGTATCAAATCATGTTATAGCAGTCTTAGAAATCTGACAGTTCCACCAAGTACAAAAGTAAGGAACTTATGTTTAAATTTTTAAATAACAGACGGTGAATTTCGAAGTCATATCTCTGAGCTTATTCTTTCAGATAAGCAAACAAATATAAACATCTTGTTGCCATTCACATCATAAAAGAAACAAAAAAATTAAACCAAAGAAGAGGAAAATACTTGCCATTGCCTCTTTGGCAAGTGTCACAATGATCATTGCCTAATCAAAGCTATCATTTAAAAATATTGCAAGATATAAATTAAACCCTAAGCTTAAAATATTTAGTTTTCGTTCTCAGCATTGAGTCCACTGCACTTCGACAACTCTTCTCTACTTCACCTCAAATTCCATCAGCAACAGCAAAGCAATCATCCTTTCTACCCTGCATATAAAAGCATCATCAAACAAAAGTTACAAGATAAGAATCAAGAGATGACCAATATTTTCCCATTAATTCAATAAATCATTTACGATAATCACATCTCCTTTCTCTCATTCTTTCCTTTTTAATCTTCATCAGTTGCTTTCTTTTTCATTTTTTACTTGATATTATCACCCAAAATTTTCTTCATCATATCGCCAAGTTGTTTTTATATTTTGGTAATTAATGTGGCAAACTACAATAGATTTTTTTTAAACCCAATGATTAAATTACATTTTGACCTTCTCAAGCAACTCTTCTTTTAAATGTGTTTTAGGTTGCTTTGGACGGTATAAAATGCTGATTATTAAAGAGGTATATGAAAAAGAAACGAAAATTTTGGGTGATAATACTAAGTAAAAAGTGGAAAAGAAAACAAGAGATGGAAGATTCAAATGGAGGGAATGAGAGAAAGGTGTTTATGGTAAATGAATTATATAATTAATAAGAAAACATCGATCATCTCTTAACCATTAGATTCAATAAAGATCAAAGACCAAAAATGAGTGTAAAATTAAATAATTTTACATTAATATAAGTAAATCCCTTTGAAGAAATATATATAAGGCAATCTTTTATTTTTTTTATGCATATTTCTTTTTGAAATTTATAATTTATCGTGTGAATTACTCTTGAATTATGCAATGTTACTATTATTAAGTACATATATTAAATATATTCAAATTTTAATTTTAATTCAATTTTTACCAACCTCAAAATTAATACATATATATATATATATATTATATGAGACATGCCCGTGTCATATGATAGATACTACTTGAGATTTTTCATCTGATTCACCCTTTACGTGTACTTGTTTGAACAGATACCATAATCATTGATTACATGTACTGTATTTGTTTAAGGTAACGTGCTTGTTTTCAGTACTAACTTTTTTGTACCATGCCAAGTGCAGATTCATATACAGATAACATCCATTTACAACCAAACCAAAGAAAAGACTGTGTTAGTCCATGAAGATGAGATGAGATGAGAGGTTTCAGGTCAGAATTAGAAGTAAAGCAACAACTATGTGACACGATATTTCTTACCATGTGCCACGCGTTGATGCATCGTTGACCTATATAAAATGAGTAAACCAATGGATTTCTTAGTCCACGAGTCAAGTAAGCGCACTCTTAAAAGAAAGCCATTGCATAAAAGAAATAAAGATTTGAAGAGGCAGAACGATTTTCTGTTCTGCAAGCTGAAAGAATAGGAAAAGCTGGTTTATTTATTGCACTAATCTTGGAAAAATTGAGAGTTTTCAAGGGGCCTGCAGGCATGGGCAGTGGCCACCAGAAGAGAAAGAAAAGGAGCAAACGACACAAGCAAGAACCAGGACCAAGACTTTTCTCTGACTTTGGAAGAATTGCCAATGGTATGTTTCACTTTTATTCTAGAGATTGCTCTTGTTTGGAAATCTTGTGTTTCTGTTTTCTGATGACACACAAAATAGCAACGACAAGGATACACGAATTGCAGCAAAGTAAGACAAGAACACACCTGAAATTCAGAGCTACCCTGAAGTTTTTAAGGTGTTCTTTTATTTTTAAAACCATTTCTTTTGTTTTATAGAAAGAGTTTCCAATTCCTTATGTACAGGTTCCAAATTCGAATTTGTGTTGCAAACTGGTTAAAATAGGGAAGATTTATGTGTTTTTTTTAATTACATGTCCTGATCAAAGGGCAGCCATCCATTGCCTGTTGGAAGACTTCTGTTTGAATCTTCATTCAAATCCTGATGCATTCTTGGTATTATTGAACTTCTAGATTTGCTTACAAAGGGCTACAGCCAGGATCAGATACTTAGCATCTCCACCCACAGTTGTAATGGAGTGGTATGTTGAACTTCTCTCTATTTGATATTTTAATCCATGCTTGCATTGTGTTTTTATTTTAGACAGTTCCTTGTAAAACCATTGAAAGAAACTATCTTCTACACCACCATTTCCAGATTTTAACTTCGGGGGCATTGAAACATGGAAGACAATCATCCACACACATTGGAGCAAGATATAAATACAGGAATGCTGCAATAGATGTAAATATAGATACAAAATCAAGTGTGCGTCTTTGTCTTAATTTGCTGCTTCTGAATTCCAGATTTTGTAAACTGATCTCAACTCTTAAGCATCTGGTTTTTACTTCCGTAATGACAGATTTCAACAACACTCACTCTTGGGGGAGAGTTTTTGCCATCCACAAATATCAAAGCTTCAGTGAGATTTCCTGATTACAATTCTAGCAAGGTAAGGCTCACATAATTGTGATTACCAGTTGCTGAATATTTCGGGTCATTCAATGAGATTTTGACAGCAAAATTGTGTTGTTTTCATTTTTGTTTCAGCTCAACCTCAAATTCCAGCATTTCTTTAGAAATGCAACCTTATCTGTCTCTGTTGACCTAAACCAATCCCCTGATGTTATGCTTTCAGCAACTATTGGTACTTCAAGCATTGCATTTGGCATGGAGTCAAAGTACAAGACTGCTTCTCGCAGTTTTACCCAACATGATGCTGGCATTTCAGTTACTAAGCCTAGTTGCAACGCTTCAATCATTCTGTATGTGGCTATAGTTGAAATTGCAAACAACATGAAGAAATCCTCATTATTAATTATCATAATGTCACAAGAGCTAGGAATAAATTTCTGCAATTACCCAACTGCAATTTTCAAATATCAAACTCCATGCTCCCATTCTGACGCTTAACAGGTTAACAACTGACAATAAATTATTCTAATTAAAGATAAATGATAAATGAAATACCTTTTGCTGACATAACATTGCTAAATTGGCCTTCCTGTTATTCTGGAAACTTCAATGCTTGATTCTTGATTTGTAAATTTCAGGGCTGAAAGGGGTGACCTTCTAAGACTGGCATATGCGCATCATTTTGGCCACTCAAGGAAGATTTCTGCAGTGGCAGAGGTCACTAGGAGGTTGTCCGAAAACAAAAATTCCCATGCAGTTGGAATATCATGCATTCTGGATAATCTAACAACAGTAAAGGCAACACTTAACAATCGGGGTAAGCTGCAGGCTCTCCTGCTCCATAAAATCAAACCCAACTCGCGCTTGAACATTTCAGGTGAATTTAACACTAAAGCTCTAGACAAGATCCCCAGAATAGGATTGGCTCTTACTCTCATGCTCTGATAGCTCTCTCAACAGCAACAAATTTGAGAGGATGCAAGGCTATCCTTCTCTGAAATGGGAAAAGCTTATGCGCATTATTATGATCATGTTGTACTGCTGCTTATACATAATAATGCACATAATACAATCTATTCATGAAACTACGTACTTTAATCAAATTAATTGAAACTAAGCACAATTTGTTAATCACAATATGGCAGTTCGGGTATTTCAAGCAGAAGGAACATAAAGAATACTTTCAAAGCATGGACAGGTTTTTTTTTTTAAAGGAGCATTCTAACTGCTGATTGAACTCTACGAGGCACTGTCTTAGTCTTAACTAATGGCCTAATCCCATCCAATTGGCTGACCTGCATTTTTTTTTTTAAACCAATGAAAAAAATTCAAAAAGAAAGGTATTTTGGAATACCTCTTTTTTCGCTTTGCTTCATTCTCTTCCTTTCTCTTCTCTCTTACCAGCCCTCGAACCAAGGACATGAGGCTTGGGTACTCTGACCTAAGCACCCCAAGCCAACAAGCCGAAACAAGGGCTGGTGCACACTAAGGCTTCCTTAATTTAATATCCCATTATCTTTTCTGTTATTCCACTATGCGCATTTGCGACTAGGGATAACAAAAATTTGTATCGGACAGGGTTCACGGACTGGGTCTTGGACAGATTTTTTTAATATTGGTTCTGTCCGGTCCAGTTTGAGGGACAAGCACAAATTAACATGCGCTAATTATCTTAAGTGGTAACTAGGAGTTCTATTTTTCATTAGCAATGTTGAAGAAGCAGAGTATCAGAGGGGATGCTGATTGCTGATACCTGATAGTAGAGGACGGTCCCAAGTTGCAGTCTTTCATGGAGATTAAGAGGTAAAAATCTACCATCCCGTGACGAACTCCTCAAGTATACTATCCATTTTAAGGAAACAACAGAAACAGAAAATTACAACCGTCTTTCTTCAAATTGATGCTTGATTTATTGTTACAAGGTCCTCTTGCCCGGCCCTGGCAATAAATCCCATGTTGTTTTCCAAGATCTGTTACAAAGGTTTTCTATAATGGAATGCAAAGCAATCTTCTAACTTGGTTTTAGAAAGTTTGAAAATTTTCAAATACAATATCTTCCCCACTAATGTACTAGCAAAATTTGCACATTCACTCGTGCAAAGCAACGAAGAATCTTACTTGTAAATTGAAGGCCATGGCGTATAAATATGCAGATGATTTTAATGATAAAAAAAAAAATCTATATATCTACGAGGAAGCGAGTCAGAGGTTGAAAATCAAAGAGCAGTAGGCAGCTGAAGAAGCCTTTCATTCAACTTCTCATAGCTATAAAACATGACACGGCGGCCACAACAAGCGTGATTGCGAAAGAACTCGCGTCATCGAAAATGGCAGCAAAGCGCATCTCCTGCAAATCCCAAAGAGTGGAAACCATGAAACGTACCCCATCAATAATCAGAAACAGGATAGCCATTCCCCTGCCACCAATACCAAATGCCCTTCCTTCACTTCACATCAAAAATATTGTATGATCTTTAGATGGGAGGGAAAAAATGACAGCTAGAACATCACTTTTTCTTGTGAATTTAATTAATGTAGAAGATTGGGGTAGTGGCCTGTTATATATGGGCTCAGTAGAATCAGCAATATTCATGCTTTACTGTTACCACACCTTGGATTTTTTTTTATTTAAAGATGCAAAAAAATAAAAATAAAATTGCAACGTTAAAATTTAATTTTACATTATTTGATGAAACTTCTTAAAAAATGATTGTATAAATTAACTGAATTAAAAATTTAGTGTAAATTGATTTTTGACAAATAGTGAAACAGAGGAGTGGAAATTCAGTGTTAAAAAGGCAGCCATGAGTTTGCCCATTTTTGTAAATCCCATGCTGCTGCTTCCAGGATGCTTCCTTTTGATTCGTTTCGGGTACCGTACGGTGGTTCTCCTATATATTTTATTTTGTAACGTGGCTTTCCAAGAGCTGCAAATGTCTTGTGCTTGATTCTTTGTCGGATTGTCACTTTGGTTTTACAAAAACATGTTCTGTGGTTTCAGAAATGAGATAGATCAGAAACTTTATCACAAATTCCAAAATTTTTCTTATTTTTTTCCCAAATGTTGTAATCACAAGACTTGTTCTGATTTGATTTGTTAATTTCTACTGCAAACATTTTTTTAGCTTTTAATTGAAACTCCCAGTTGGCCAAACCTTTTGATAGTTTTTTTTTTTTTTTTCTTATTTTCTTTATGAACTTTGTCCAAATGCTCTTCAACTTTAATCCAAAACTCCACAGACCAAACCGACCGGAAATTAAAATGTAAAAGAATAACTCCACACCATTTGGGTGAGAGAAGAATTCAACTCAAAGTAAGCAAGGAAAAAATTCTTCTACTTCTTTTGTTAATACTATTAATTATCACTCTACCCTTAACTTATACACTAACTTTCTTTTATTTTATCGACTATCTTTTAAGATCAATTAGTATATTATTGGAGACAAAATTTACATGAAGTATTATAAATAAAGTTTGCAAAGTTTTTTTAATAGAAACGAGTAAATAAAAACTCTAATAAAAAATTTAAACCGATAGATTAATAGAGTTTAATGTAAAAATTAATAATATATAAAAAAATTATTTATAAGTCAAATTTAATAGATATTTATTAAACGTTAAAATTTTTATCAATATTTTTATTAAAAATATCTATTTAATAAATATATCAAAATTTATTAAATTCTTTGTTTAAAATTTACACATTTGACTTATAGTGATAGTAATGGGTCAGGTCGGGATGGATTTTTGTTTGTCCCGAATCCGATTCAACTTTAAACATATAAAACTCGTACCTGTACCTGACTCGATAATTTTTTTTTAAATACTCGAACACGATTCGATCCGACAAAAAATTAATAAAATATTATTTTAAATATAAATATAAAATTAAATATATATAAAAATATATAAAATTAAATATAAATTTTAAAAAATAATTTTTTTATATATATAGGGTCGGGTAGGGTCGGATTTGCCTAAAACCCAACCCCGACCCGAACCCGAAAAATTTTTTTTACCTTACCCGACTCAAGACCCAATTTTCAAAAAAAAAAAACCAATAATAAAAGGTAGGGTCAGGTCGAAACCCGTCGGTTTCGGATATTTTTGATTTTTCTATTGACTTATATTATAAGATTTTTAAATTTTTCAAAATTTCAATTTATTGATTTTGATTTTAATTTTAATTTATTCATTTCTCATAAATAATTTTATAAATTTTATTTATAAAACTTCATATAAATTTTTTTTATCATTGGAGTTGACACTTGTAAGTTACGAATTCAAAAGAATTTATACACTTAATATTTTTTTAAACAAATAAATAATAAGGTAAAAGATTTAAGGATAAATTAACAATTAAAAAAAATTTGTTTCATTTTAATTTCAAAAATAAAAATCAATAAATAAAATTCACTTTTAAAATTATCTCCAAAATAAATTCAAACCAAACTTAAAATTGCTCTTACTCATATTAATTTGAATTATATATAAAAACCTTTTAATTGAAAGAAATGAAGCAAAAGAGAGTATTTAAACTAAAAGGGCACTAGTATTTAACGGCAAAGAAGCTTAAATTAAACAAATTTTATTGTCCCAATTTTTTATTTAAATTCATGTTTTAGTCAAAATGTTTTTTTTAAATTTAATTTAGTTGAAATTGGATATGGACAGTTATTCATGATATTATTTATTTAATTTATAGAGATTATTTATATTATTTTATAAAATTAAAGAATGAAAATGAAATTAATATTATTCAACCAAATCCGATCTACACACATGCTAACCGACAACCGGGAGATTGCAACGAAAGAGCTGGACTTTTGCCTCGTACAGACAAATCACAAAAGCATAGGTGCAACTGTAACGACGTCGTTGAAACCACTTCCCAAAAGTGCTTTTGTTTTCATCTCAAAACGCATCATCCAATCCCTTTATCGACCGTGATGCCACGCACCACTTAAATATCGCCAAATATACAATAACATCACAATTGGCTTAAACACTCTCTTCGGAGCGTGAAAACCATCTGGGAACATTCTTTGTCAGCATTTCATGATTATTTTTTTTTTAAAAAGGTAATAATTACATATTTTCTTGATTTAAATGGGGAGGGAATTCAATCATTGAAAAGAAGCGAATCTAAGGCTTTCCAATTTCTATTTATTTTCCGACGGATCTTTCCAGTTCAAAATCGAAACCCTAATTTCTTGAAATTTTCTGATACGAAAAAAATGGGATTGTGGGAAACTTTTCTCAATTGGCTTCGAAGGTAAGTTGTCTTCCCTGTTTGGTTACTGAGAAAATAAAAGTAAAGAATTGAAGAAAGATTTAAATTTTGAATTTTTTCATTTTAAAGTTGTAATCGAACCGAGACTAATGTTTTACGAGAGAGAAAAAAAGAGATTCTTTATATTCAGTTTGCACTTAATTTGTTCCTTTTTCTTTCTTGGAAAGCTTTCTTTGAATCTTTCTTCTTCTTCTTCTTCTTTTTTTTTTTATTGTAACCTTCTTGAAACTAGGAAAAAGACATTTCCTTTCCAATTTATTTTATTACTGAATTTCACGTTTCAGTTTTAAATTTTATTAATTTGATAATTGAAAGTTGGATCAAGTATATAAATTGTTGGATTCACTGCCTTGTGGTTGTGGAGATTCTTTGTTTTCGTTGTTGATTGGATTTTCTTCCATTTGATAGGGCTATGTTTGGCTGCTAAGAACATGCATATATATATATATATATATATATATAATTGCCAGTTCAGAAATTTGTAAAATTAAAACATGCAATTTTGATAGTTGTCATTGAAGACCAGATATGAAGTGATTGTTTTGGTTGTAATTGGTTGATGGGTAGTTAGGTTAAGTCTAAACATGGCTACCTAGATAGTTCATAGATTGTTTGTTAATCACTCTGTCGAAGTGCCTCATTTTGGTAACTTTTAAAATATAATAATTGTGTTATTTTGGAGAAGTACTTGAGATAAGGATGGCTTGTTAAACTGGGATCATCTAGATGGTGACCATTTTGTTATGATAACAATGGTGTTAATGAGGGAAGTACTGATGTGGACCATGCTCAATTGGGAGAATTAGATAAGTGACAGGGTTTTTGTGGATTAATTCTTGATTGAGGTCTAGCTGGTTTTTTGCAGTATATGTTTTTCCTCAATGATAATGAACTACAACAGCATATTTCAGTGCCTTCCTATTCTCTGTTGTCTTCTCAAGTCCAAATTAGCAAGCTGCCAAAGAGCAGTATCTATCATGAGTTACTCAAACAAGAAGGGATAACTACCTAGGGTGACAAAGGAAAGGATTTAGTTGCTGCTGGTGGTTCTGGCAGGATGGTTTTTTTTTTTTGGGGGGGGTTGTGTGATTGGGTCAGAAAACCCAAAATCTATCTTGTTTCCTCTGGCCATTTTCTTCTTTTCATGTCTTTTTATTTGTATTCAGGGAATGTCTTGCAAATTTAGAGGAGCTCTTTATGCATGTTTGTGATTGACCTTTTTTGTACATATTAATCCCTCTATTTGGATTAAATTTCCTGCATAGTCATTCTTATTTTCTTTCTCCTCCTTGTAGTCTCTTTTTCAAGCAAGAAATGGAGTTATCTTTAATAGGCCTCCAGAATGCTGGAAAAACATCCCTAGTTAATGTCATTGCAGTAAGTGTTCGTTATGTGAGAGTTACAATATTGTTTCATTTGTTTTGTCCTATCTCTTTTAGCTTGGTCCTGACAGTTAGACTTCTTTTTCTGTATCTTATTTCAAGACTGGTGGATATAGTGAAGACATGATACCAACGGTAAGTCATACAGCAAAGACCGGATGCCAACAATAATTCTTGAGAATTTGTCATTTACATGCAGCAAGCTTTTTTTTTGGGTGGTTTTTGTCCCTTATAATTCTCATGACATTTCTTCTGTTTACAGGTAGGATTTAATATGAGGAAGGTAACCAAAGGAAATGTCACAATAAAGTTGTGGGATCTTGGGGGTCAACCAAGGTTTCGGAGTATGTGGGAGAGATACTGCCGCGCTGTTTCAGCCATTGTGTATGACATTCATACTTTTCTGCTACTATATTTCTCATTGTAGGATGACCTCGTAACACGTTCATCGTTTATTGTTTCTATGAGATGTGTCTTTATTTACAAAATGTTGTTTTCCTGTATCAAAATTATCATTGTTGTGAGAATACTGGTTAGAATTCAAAGGATGTTTTGGTCTTCTATGGATAGTTTTCTACTGGAAATTGCTAGAAAATAGTGCCCTTTTTGAATTTACATTTTTTCACATCCCAATTTGGCTATCTGTATTTGAATTAAGATAAAAAGCACTCTCTGAGTGTCTCTAGACAATTTCCTCTTTCCATCGTATTGCTGGTCTTGAAATAAGTTTGTTTTCTTATACCTCCTCTTCTTTATCCATTATGCTGCCATCTGCATTTGTGGTCATTCAAGTTCCTTTTCTTTACTAGTTAGGAACCAACCACCCCATACCCTCTTGAGTGATCTATGAGGACATATGTTATATCATCTGGTTAACTATGTTAAACTAACAGTATGAGCAAATTGTAAGGTAAAAGAGGGAAAGTTGAAAAACCGCAGTCATGTATGTGCTACAGTTGTAAATATATGAACATATCTGAATATCTAATTGAGGGCAATAAGAAGTTAGGTAAGGATCTCTAGAAGTTCTTGTTCATGAGTGAGCTTATATCTAGCATGCCCTAAACACAGAGTTGTGGATATGATTTTGATCTTAACTTTCCATAGATTTTACAAATGGCATCCCCGCTATGCCACCACCCCGATCCCACCTGTGGTTTTAATTTTCTTTCATTGTTCATCTACTGATTGTCTTAATTTCTACAGACAAATTTAAAGTAGCTTTTTGCTTTATGAGACTTCCAAATAAGTCATGTACATAGTATATACATAAATATATGCTATCTGCCAGGTAGAAAATGCATGTCTTGTTGCCCTTTTCTTGTAGGTGATTTTTCACCAGCATGTTGTCTTACATATCGACGGTCAACTTGTTCTTACTTCGATTTTCTTTAATCTACAGCTATGTTGTGGATGCTGCCGATCATGATAACTTATCTGTCTCAAGAAGAGAACTCCATGACCTGTTAAGTAAATCCTCACTGAATAGTATTCCCCTGCTGGTACTCGGAAACAAGATAGACAAACCAGAAGCCTTGTCTAAGGAGGATTTGACAGAGCAAATGTAAGTGGAGAGTTAAAAGTAAATCTTTGTGCTTAAGGAAGCAGTAGCCTAACATAACCGACTGTTGTTGGTCGTCAAAGAATTGTTGGCACAAACTGTTTTTTCTCTGTAAATCTCGATGCAACCACATTTATGTTATTTGGTTACTGCATACATGGTGATTTTTCATTTATGTTTCTGGTGCTGGACTGTGCAGGGGGCTCAAGTCTATTACAGATAGAGAAGTTTGTTGCTTTATGATTTCATGCAAGAACTCTACCAACATTGATACGGTGATTGATTGGCTTGTGAAGCATTCAAAATCAAAGAATTGATGTGTCAAAGTTCTTGTACCGTTTCAGCTTGTGATTATAATCAGTTACCGTTGCTTCTTCGTCCAGGTTGGTCAATATGACTTTGCTGTCTGTCTGTCTAACAGGGTTTGTCCATGTCTGACACCATAGTCTTAATTTTCCAACTTGGCTTTAATCATAAGTATTGTTTGGTGGGTGAGTCGGGCATAAATTTGTTGATCCTTTTTAATGTACAGACATTGCGTTGTAAACATGGTAAACCTGTTGTGGTTTTGAATCAAATAAAGTGTTTTGATGCATTTTCAGTTCCATTCGTTGACAGTCAAATATTTTGTAAACAAAAAAACAATAAAAAAGAGTGTTGTGGTATTTTATTAATCTAACTATAATCCAAGAACAATGTTAAAAGAAAGAAACATAAATTTGCAATGAAATATTTGAAAATCATATAATTTAATTTCATATGTTATAAAAGAGTAGAGTAATTCTTTCTACCCATATTTTCAATATTTATAAGCCTTTTAAACCTAAATCTAATTTCACTTGATCTGAATTTCAAAATGATTCGAATTTTTATCTAAAATAATCTTACTTATGTTATTAAATTCAAGTTCAACTGGAAACCTATTCATTTGCATTAAGAGAAAATTTACAAATAATTGAACTCAAATTTAATCAGAACTGTTCATTTACAGTAAGAGAACATATATAAAAAAATATTTTTTTTTATTTTTATTTTTTTCGTCTTTCAATTTTTAGTTTTGTGATTAAAAACGTTCGAGAAAATATTAAAAGCCTGATTCAAAATTAGATTTTTTTTTTATTTGTATTAGGGTTTTGTTGTCTTGATGTAACCAATATATATATATATATATATATATATTAATTTTTTATAAAATTATGTATAAAAGAAATATAATTAGATAATTTTAACAAAAAAATCTAATTAAATCTATGTATAATAGATTCAGATTCTAAAAATTTTTTAACGCCACCAACCCAAAGTACTATTGTTTTAAAAAATTATGAAGGCAAAACGGCAGCATTATTAAGTTTGACTGTCAAAAGGAATATTTGTCACTTGTGTAAGTATTAAACCCTTTCTTAGCCGAAACAGGAACCGGTCTTCTATGGGGGGACTCCATTTTGACTATAGTCTTCACTCTTCACAAAGCCCTTTCATTGTCCATCCGGCTCCGGCGAGAAGCCATGGACAAAAACAAAGAGAAAGAACTCGAATACAAATTCCATATATTCTGTTTCTTTTTATGTTCTTCTGTTTTCCAATCATCCAAACGGACCGCCAACTCTTCAGAAACTAACCACTAATCGCATATGTAAGTTGCTGCTATGAAGCTTGACGAGTTCCCGAGTTATTATCTGTATGCAGTTTACTAATTTGTGGTGATTTTTTATCTACAGTAAGTAAAAGTCTCGCCTTATTATTTTTCAATTTCAAATTTTTTTAATGTATGTTTAGCTTTTTTACAAAAATTCTCTGATTTTTTTGAACCTGTTGGAATCTAGGGTTAGGTCAACTTTTATAATTTATATATTTTGATAGAAAAAGAGTTAATTTTTTTCACTCCATTTTGACATATTTTTTTTTCTGATGATGATGAGATCGCTTGTATGAAATTAGGTTAACATGTATGCATTTCAAAAATAGCAGAAGCTTAATTTTCTTATATTATTATTATTATTATTATTTTACTCATTTGCGTGGAATGTTATCAGTAAACAAATTAATTTGAACTTCCTTAAGTATTATATTATTATACGCTTAATTAAAGTTGACTTGAGGCTGGATTCTGATGATCAATTATTTCAAGTTGTAAAATTTGAAAAAGATAAAAAAAGGGTTGGGGGCATTCCGAGAATCGAACTCGGGACCTCTCGCACCCAAAGCGAGAATCATACCACTAGACCAAATGCCCAATTTTTCCTGTTTAACAGAATTTGTGTTTACTTATTAGATCTTGCTAAATTTTGATGACTATTTAGCAAGTTGTTCTGCTGTTAGAATACTGCCTTGGTACTTAAATGACTGATTTAAAGATGAGCTTATTGGACTATTAAGCTGTTGTTGACAGATCATTAAATGTTGGGTCCTAACAACCTTTTGTGTGTGGGACTCAGGCAAACCGAATGCCAAAGTCTTTTATTGATGAAAGAGGTAGAAGTGCTATCTACTTTGGCTGCTAAAGCCATTTGGTAATTCTAGGAGGGATTCTAAATGATCCCACCTGTGACTAGGTTTTGTGCCTTTGCAGTGCTTTGCCGCTCCTTTTAGTGCAGTCATTGCACAGAAAAAGAACATGAGGTTTTGTGTTGATTAAAAACCAGACATTTGGCTTTCTCATTTACTAGTTTTTCTTGTCATAAACATTTTGTTCATTAAGATTTTAAGTCTGCTTCTCAAATGTAGGCATGCTTATGTGATTCCCTTTTTTGGCAGGGTTAAGGCAGATTTCTTTTATCTGAAGACTTTGAGATTACAAGTATGAAGAATAGCATGCCCACGTTTAAAATATTACACATAGATTAGTTGGTTATTTTTTTTATTTATTTATTTTTGCATCTCTTTTTTTTTTTTTTTTAAATCTTGTCGGAGAAAAATAATTCTTTGAAAGATGACTTCAGGCTGCATTCCTTTTGGCTAATGTTTCAAATGGTAATACATGATACTAAAAACAAGGGGCTAGGCTGAGAATCAAAGTTAGGACCTCTCGCACCCAAAGCGGGAATCATACCACTAGACCAAATGCCCATTTTTGTTGTCTATAAAGTTTTGTTATTAATACTATATATAGGCAGTAAATTGTCAAGAAATGGTGCATACCTTTCTTTATTTATTGATTGGAAGTAGATTGTTTGTGAACATTTTTTCTCTTGGAATTCATATAAAGTGCTTCAGAATTGTTCATATATGAGCATACAGGACAACTATCAGTTATGCAGGAATTGTTCAAAAAGTGACATGTCCTAGTAACCTTTTCTCTGCAAGGCTCTGAAGGATGAATACTAAACTCTTCCATTGGCACAAGGGATTATAACTACTTTAGCTGTAAAGTCATTCTGTAGTTGTATTAAGCTAGGTTTGGATCCTGTTTTGACCTTTGATTCAAGGCATATTGTTGCAAGAGGAGAGGTTAAATGGAGGAAGAGGCCCATGACAAGGAGCCTAGCCTGGTGATTTATCAGAATGATAAATAGACATTCTTCTCACTCACACGAAGAAAACGGCACATTCTTTTCCATAGGCCTTTTCTTTTTCTTTTTGGCTAAATTGGTTGTTGTTGATTAACTGTTTTTTTCCTTTGTTTTCACAGGGTAGAGGCAGATATCCACCTTCTAATGACCGTGATTCTAGGTATGAGGTTAGCTTTTCCACACGCAAAGATAGTATATACAGCCTAATTTATTCATTTATTTTGCTATTCATTTCTGAAGACTTCTTAGAAAACAGATCAATCTAAAGTTGACTTCAGAATAGTTTCCTCTAATAACCAAAAGGAAAAAGCAAGGCAATGGGGCATTCCGAGAATCAAACTCAAGACCTCTTGCACCTAAAACAAGAATCATACCACTATACCAAATGCCCATCTTTGATGTTTAACATGATCTGTTTTTAGTTATTAGCTCATTTCTTCAAGATCCTGCTAAATTTTCATGTCTAGCTGCTCACTTGTTAGCAAGTTATTCTGCTGCTAGAATACTACCTTAGTACTTAATGAATGGTTTAACGATGTGCTTATTGGGCGCATAGGCAATTATTGACTGATCATTAAATTTTGTGTCCTAATAACCTTTTGTTTGTGGGCTCTGCAAGCAGGATACCAAAGTCTTTTATTGATGCAATAGGTCTGCTATCTATTTTAGCTGCTAAAGCCATTTGGTAATTCTAGTTAGGATCCTGAAACGAATCCCACCTTGAATAGGTTTTGTGCCTTTGTAGTATTTCGCCACTGGTTAGTACAGTCATTACACAAAAATGAATAAAGGTTGTGTTGATAACAAATCTGGACATATGGCATTCTCATTCACTAGTTTTTCTTGCCATAAGCATTTTGTTCATTAAGTTTTTAAGTCTGCTCTTCAAATGTTGGTTAACTACATGCTTATGTAATTCCCTCTTTTGGAAGGGTTAAGTCAGATTTGTTTTATCTGAAGACTTTGAGATCACAAGTCTGAAGACTTTGAGATCACAAGTATGAAGAATTGCTTGCCCACATTTAAAAATATTACATAAAGGTTAGTTGCTTATTTATTTATTTATTTATTTTTGCAACACATTTTTGGAAAATCTTATCAGAAAACAATTAATACTTTCAAAGATGACAATACTTTCAAAGATGACTTTGGGCCAGAATCCTCTTGGCTAATGTTTCAAATGGTAATACAAGATAATAAAAAACAAGGGGCTGGGGCATTCCGAGAATCAAACTTGGGACCTCTCGCACCCAAAGCGAGAATCATACCACTAGATCAAATGCCCAATTTTGTTGTCTATGATGTTTTGCTATTATTGTAACATCTATAGGTAGTAAATTTTCAAGAAATGGTGCATGGTTTTCTTTATTTATTGATGAAAACTCTGATCAGAACTAGATTGTTTGTGAGCTTTTCTGCTATTGGAATGAATAGTAAAGTGCTTCAGAACTGTTCATAAATGAGCATGCAGGACAATTAGCGGTTACCCAGGAATTGTTCACAAAATGCAATGTTCTTATAACCTTTTCTTTGCAAGGCTCTAACGGATGAATACTAAAGTCTTCTATTCACAACAAGGGATGCTAACTACTTTAGTAGTTAGCTATAAAGTCATCCGTAACTACGTCGAGCTAGGTTTGAATCCTGTTTCAAACTTTGTTGAAGTCATATTAGTGCAAGAGGCAAGGAGGCTAAATGGAGGAGGAGGCCCTTACCAATGAGTTTAGCCTGGTGATTGGTCAGAATGACGAATAGGCATACTTCTTACACAGTGGAAGAAAAAGGCACATTTCTTTTTCTGTTGGGGCCTGTTTTTCTTTTTGGCTAATTTGGTTGTTGTTGATTAACTGCTTTATTCCTTTATTTTAACAGGGTTAAGGCAGATTTCCATTTTCTAGTGACTGATTTCAGGTGTGAGACTAACTTGCCCACATGCAAAGATAGTAGTATAGTACATAAAGCTTTTGTTTATTTATTTTGCCATTTATTTCTGAGGACTTATTAGAAAACAGATCAATCTAAGTCCATGAAGTTCTGTATTATGCTCTTAAAGTTGACTTCAGAATAGATTCCTCCTATTAAATAGTTTTGGATATAAAATAAAGAACCAAAAAGAAAAAAGCAAGGTATTGGGGCATTCCAAGAATCAAAGTCGGGACCTCTTGCACCCAAAGTGAGAATCATACCACTAGACCAAATGCCCAAAATTTTTTTATATGTATCATCTGGTTTATAATTATTAAATCTTTTTCTCGAAGGACTCCTGTTAATTTTCAATGTACTCATTCCTAGAAGACCAACATTTTCCTAGCTCTC